CCCGGCCGGCGCCCCCCCCCCCCAGCCGGGGACTCAGAATTGCGGGTCGCCAAGAGCGGGCTTGGCTTACCTTGGCTTGGCGTCCCGTCCCGTCCTTTTGCGGCGGCTCCCTTTTCCCCTTAGTGCCGGCCCTCCGGAGGCCGGCGAATGGCCTCGGGCGATTAAAAACCGCGTTAAGCCAAGGGGAGGGAAGCCTCGTCTCCACGCATAAACAGATACAGATGCCTCCTCGTGGAGCAGGGCTCTCCTTTTTGACTGATGGTGGTTCTTCGAGGCTAGTATTAAGTCGCACGAGATTACCCGGGTTCAGAATCCAGAGATGAAGAAAATTTATTTTCTGGAGTTACAGCTCCCATCATCCTACAGCCAGCCTGGCTTTTGGCCATCTTGCTTTTTGCGGATAATGGGCGAGCTGCAGCCCTCCCAAAGAAACGTTTCCTCACCTCTGACTGGGTGCTCTATCTTTTGGATACAAAGCATATTCTTTGCCAATGAATTAATGCTCCTTCCCCAATCTTATGCTTCTTTATAACTACTGTATAAAGTTCTCTCTCTCTCTCTCTCTGTCTCTCTGCCTTTTATTCATTATTGTTGTTATTGTTATTATTAGACTTATATACTGCCCATCTACAACATGTATATTCGGGGTGGTTTATACAAAAAACAAAAATAGACATAATAAATGAAAACATAAATACATTGAAAGATGGGGACCAATTTTACTGCAAGAGGCCATGATGGGAAAAAGAAAAAAAACTGATATGATATGATATGATATGATATGATAAATATAACCATATATAACTTATATATATAAGCTTCATGTCTGCCAGCCTTTCCCTATATATACACTGTATAGGGAGAGGCTGGCAGCCGTGAAGCTTATTTTGCACACAAGAGGAGAAACTATTGTTAAATGATGCTGTATTCTCATGTTACTTGGTAGCTGAGGCTCTTTTCTAGTTGGTGATACATGATAGTTGCCTCATGACATCAAGAAGAGGTGGCAAGAATACACAGAGGAATTATATCAGAAAGATTTGGATATCCCGGACAACCCAGACAATGTAGTTGCTGACCTTGAGCCAGACATCCTGGAGAGTGAAGTCAAGTGGGCCTTAGAAAGCCTGGCTAACAACAAGGCCAGTGGAGGTGATGGCATTCCAGTTGAACTATTTAAAATCTTGAAAGATGATGCTGTTAAGGTGCTACATTCAATATGCCAGCAAGTTTGGAAAACTCAACAGTGGCCACAGGATTGGAAAAGATCAGTCTACATCCCAATCCCAAAGAAAGGCAGTGCCAAAGAATGCTCCAACTACCGTACAATTGCACTCAATTCGCACGCTAGCAAGGTTATGCTCAAAATCCTCCAAGGTAGGCTTCAGCAGTATGTGGACCGAGAACTCCCAGAAGTACAAGCGGGATTCCGAAGAGGCAGAGGAACTCGAGACCAAATTGCTAACTTGCGCTGGATTATGGAGAAAGCCAGAGAGTTCCAGAAAAATATCTACTTCTGCTTCATTGACTATGCAAAAGCCTTTGACTGTGTGGACCACAGCAAACTATGGCAAGTTCTTAAAGAAATGGGAGTGCCTGACCACCTTATCCATCTCCTGAGAAACCTATATGTGGGACAGGAAGCAACAGTTAGAACTGGTCATGGAACAACTGAGTGGTTCAAAATTGGGAAAGGAGTACGGCAAGGCTGTATATTGTCCCCCAGCTTATTTAACTTATATGCAGAATACATCATGCGGAAGGCTGGACTGGAAGAAACCCAAGCCGGAATTAAGATTGCCGGAAGAAATATCAACAACCTCCGATATGCAGATGATACCACTCTGATGGCAGAAAGTGAGGAGGAATTAAAGAACCTTGTAATGAGAGTGAAAGAGGAAAGTGCAAAAAACGGTCTGAAACTCAACATCAAAAAAACTAAGATCATGGCCACTGGTCCCATCACCTCCTGGGAAATAGAAGGGGAAGATATGGAGGCAGTGTCAAATTTTATCTTCCTGGGCTCCATGATCACTGCAGATGGAGACAGCAGCCCTGAAATTAAAAGACGCCTTCTTCTTGGGAGGAAAGCGATGACAAATCTGGACAGCATCGTGAAAAGCAGAGACTGCTCATTGGAAGGACAGATCCTGAAGCTGAGGCTCCAGCACTTTGGCCAGCTCATGAGAAGAGAAGACTCCTTGGAAAAGACCTTGATGTTAGGAAAGTGTGATGGCAAGAGGAGAAGGGGACGACCGAGGATGAGATGGCTGGACAGTGTCTGCGAAGCAACCAACATGAATTTGACACAACTCTGGGAGGCAGTGGAAGATAGGAGGGCCTGGCGTGCTCTGGTCCATGGGGTCATGAAGAGTCGGACACGACTAAACAAAATGAAACGATAGTTGCGTCTTGGACACGACTAAACAAAATGAAACAATAGTTGCCTCTTGTGATGAAGCTTTTTGGTGATCCTTGTGGATTATTAAAAAAATAGTGTCTATGCTGCTTGGCAGATACACACGGAAGGACAAAGCAAATGGATGGTGGTTAATGGAATAGAAGTGCCATTTTAAGTGCTATTTCCTGTGCATAAAAATAATAAAATTTCAATTAAAGGAGAACATTCTAAGTCTCATGTACATGTAGTCATGTGTGGGAAGTGTACACACACCTGTTTTGCCCTATATTCTTGTGACCATTTGTTCTGGATTAGAGTATGCATGCACAATGAAACACAAGTGTACATTTGTTAGTATTCTGGTAGGAAAGACATTGCATACCTTTCAAGATTTTACTCTGCAGCTGCTGGGGAAGAGCAGTTCTCTTCATGTTCTCAGTCTGTGAGGGTTCAGTTTTCGGGGCTGTCTGTTCTTCAAATAAAGGACGAGACGGTTCAGGTAAATCAAAGGGTTCAGTATTTATTGCAACATCAACTCCAACAGGGTTCACCCCTAAAAAGGGGTTCAAGGATTCTTGCAACATATTGCTTGGCTTTAACGGGGTCCATAAAGCATTTAGAAAAGGGTTTGTTGTCTCTGGGTTCCAAGGTCCTGTTAATAACGGCACAGTCCCCTGCCCAGGGTCCAGTTCTTCATCTAATGATATCAACGGTAGAGTCTCTTAATCCCCGCTGCACTCACCCCAGGATGACCCATCTCCTCCTTCGACTCCCCAGGGGCCGGGTAACCCCCCAGTTTCCTCAATTTGGCTATATGCCATTGCTTCTTTCGCTCAAGCTCTCGGGCTACCGCTTCTCTTTCTTCTCGGAGCTTCCTCCTCCACTCCTTGGCCTCGGTCTCACTTCAATATGAAGGGCGAGGCTTCAGCCCAAGCTGGCGGCATTTCTCCGCCTCCTCATGGGGGCCTCGGACCTGCTCCCATTTGTGGGTCCAAGGATCCTCCATCCAAATCCACTCCCATCCCCCCCCCGTATCTCTGCCGTCTTCCCTCTTATATCTCCCGCCGCCGCCTCAATCTCCTCCCTCCTTCTTCCCGCCAAAGATTCCCCGAGTCTCGGGGCAAGGGTTAACCCTTTCATAGTCGCCTCCAGGTCTTGCGTATCTACCCCCTTATTCAAGGTAAGGGGTTCGGCGACCGTTTGTTCCCAATCTGGGGTCTCCACGCCTTTCTCTTCCCGACGCGTTGGGGATGGAGGTGGGGATGTCTGTGTGTAGAGGGTTCTCTTTGAGAGCGACGGCACTCCCACTAAGGCCTCCACTTTGGGGGCCTCACACAGTCTTCAAGAAAGATATGTCATTTTGGATAGAATTTTCTTCTTTTGTGTTTGTATTATCTTGGATGTACAGAAATGCATTGTAGTTCTCAAATAAAGTTGCGTATACATCATGAATTAGGGGAGTGTTTGGCTTTAAGTGTTTTTGTGCTCGAATCAAACCATGTCTCCATTTGGGCTGTTTTATAATTGGCTAATTCATTTCTCTCTTCCGCTGAGCATGCCTTTGCATATCCACACTTTTCCATTTTGGGTGAGTCATTTTAATTGGGGTGGGGGAAGAAATGTTTTGGTCCAGCTGATTTTGAAGAAAGTGTTCCTGTATGTTTTTAAATTGAATTTTTATACTATGGGAAATTTAGGCAGCTTTCATCCCCTAATTGGGAAAATTTGTAAAATTATCTTTGTGAAAATATAAGGAGCTAGATACGCCCCTGATTTTGTTTTTATGTGGTGAATTTAGACTATGAAGATTTTGACAGTGCTTTAGAGCATTCCTTTCTGTGATTAATCACATAAATTTAATGTTTTGATTTAACAATATACCAGAAAAGGATAAATTCCTAATGTAGTGTATAGTGACAGAATTGTGATACGTTTGTTTATAATAAACTTAGTTAAAATTGTGCCCTTTCCCAAAAGACAACTTGAGACGTTGATTGATTTTCAAATAATTGTTTTAGCATTTTTAATGATACTTTAACTACAATGTTGCTATTTTTTTCATTTTGCAGTAGGAAGGAGATAGTTCTGTGCATTAATGTTTTGTCTGATAAACATTTTGCTTTTCATTTTTATTTTCTCTTAGTTTATTTTCTCTACAAGATACAATGCGGGGGAAAATACTTGTTGTACCATATTTATATTTGGCCTTTTCTCTGAGAAGCTCAAGGCAATAGATATTTTATCCTGTCAATGATTCTGTGAGGCAAAGTGGTCTGAAATGGGGTATATGTGGCCATTCATACTGTGTTGGACTTCCAGCTCCTGTAATCTTTGGCATGGTACCAATGAGAACTGGAATCAGCACCATCTGGAGCAGTCGCTTATGATTGCACAGTACCTAGGTTCTACAATTGTATTTAAAACATGAATTACATATTGTACATTATTACAATAATTTTATTCTCTTTGTTTTTCCAGAGTGAAGATACACAGCAGCAAATTATCAGAGAAACATTTCATTTAGTGTCAAAACGGGATGAAAAATGTTTGTAACGTCCTAGAAGGGGGATGTAAGTGTTAGAAATAGTTTTGCGTAGTACAGTATATAAAGATTTTTAAATTGATTCAGAAGTGAAATACAAAACTGTAACGGTGGATTTTCCTGAGACTAAAAATATGTACTTCATAGGATAATATCTGACTCTGAAGACTTGCTACATCAGTAAAGAAAGATTCTGCATAGTAACAGAAAACATATTTCCTGCCAGAATCTTCAGGTTTAAGATATAAATGATGTATATGGTCGTGACAGAGTTGTCCTTGATGCCATGATTGCTGATGCATTACCACTATTTTCTTGAGGAGCATCTGAATGAAGGGGTTGCATTCATATCTAAGAAGTCTCACAAATATTTGCAGCTCTGACACTGCAAAGGAAATAAATTCAGATTATGTGTTTACGTAATTGAGTCAGTCTTCATGAGCTGAAATATTTAGCTTTTTTTTCTTTTTGAGTAGTTACCTTCAGCCTATTTGGTTGTTGACAATCTCATGCAGTAGTCATGCAATAGAATTCTACATAAAACTGCAGGATAGCTCAATAATTTCAGTATCTGGCAGCAGAGCCATAAGTTGGAAGTTCATTTCTCCACTGTGCCCCCGTGACTGCGGGCTGGACGCAATGATCCATCAGGTCCCTTCCAGCTCTACAGGTCTAAAATTATAGGCTGGACGTGATGATCCATCACGTCCCTTACAGCTCTACAGGTCTAAGATTATAAGATTTATTACTGTTGTCTATAGTCTTACTGAAGATGAATTACTATTCACTAAGTCTAAAATTATAAGATTTATTACTGTTGTCTATACTCTTACTGAAGATGAATTACTATTCACTAATGTGGTTGAAATGATTAGTTCCAATGTGTTCCTCAATTGCTTTCTGCCACAATTACAGTTAATGTTTTCTTGCCTCTTAAATTTTTTTTTATTTAGTAACAAAGAGAATGTTGAATGTTGGTATTAGTGCTTTGATGCAAAATTATAAGATTTATTACTGTTGTCTATACTCTTACTGAAGATGAATTACTATTCACTAATGTGGTTGAAATGATTAGTTCCAATGTGTTCCTCAATTGCTTTCTGCCACAATTACAGTTAATGTTTTCTTGCCTCTTAAATTTTTTTTTATTTAGTAACAAAGAGAATGTTGAATGTTGGTATTAGTGCTTTGATGCTTATCTTACTCTTTTTTTAGCCAGTAACAAAGAGAACGTTGAATGTTGGTATTAGTGCTTTGATGCTTATCTTACTTTGTTTTAGATTAATAGGTGGATCTGACAACAAGTTAATATACCGACATTATGCCACACTTTATTTTGTCTTCTGTGTTGATTCTTCAGAAAGTGAACTTGGCATTTTAGATCTAATACAAGTAAGTAATACACACAAGTAAGGGACTTATTACAGTTTGTTGTTATGTGCCATCAAGTCAGAGCCAGCTTGTAGTGACCCTAATATAGTTTTCAGAGTAAGCAGGATGTTTGAGGTGTGGTTTTGCCAGGGCCAAACCCCCAACACACACACACCAAGTTTCCATGAGTGATTATGGACTTGAACTAATCTCCTGAATTGCAGTCTGTCACTCTATCCACACCAACTTATTACAGTTTGTTGTTATGTGCTATCAAGTCAGAGCCAGCTTGTAGGGACCCTAATATAGTTTTCAGAGTAAGCAGGATGTTTGAGGTGTGGTTTTGCCAGGGCCAAACCCCCAACACACACACACCAAGTTTCCATGAGTGATTATGGACTTGAACTAATCTCCTGAATTGCAGTCTGTCACTCTATCCACACCACACTAGGTTTTTCATACGCCATTGAAATGTTGACCACAACCTCATTATGTATGTACTTCTCTTGCTAAAAATCTTTCAGTGGGCTGATGCATAAACTAAAAGTTGTGTATCTTTAAAACTTCTTGGTATTAATATTAAATGGTTTTTAGTATTAATACTCTATGGTAAGACAATGTTTTCTTTACAGTTAGCATTAATACATATGTCAGGAAAATATACTGCCACAATAGTTTTACTACTTTGTTGTCCAGATTAATACAAAGGAGCTCTCTCTCTCTTTTTCTCTCTCTCTCCAAATACTAGTCCCACTATGTATTTGGATATATATATAAAACTTAATCAGCAATAAAAACCCACTGCTGACACCATCACCAGTGTGTGCAGTTGTAACTTTATACTTTGGCCAATATATGCACTTTGCTATGCTGGTTTTAGTATTTTATTAATATGAATTGTAGTAAATAGGCTGAAAGTTAAATTGAACTTGCTTCCTATCAACATTGAGGGAATCATTTTGTCCTCACATAGATTCAACTGGTCAAAGCTAAAACTAACCCAGTCTCTTTATTTGTCTTTGTTTTATATAGTAGTAACTGGGATTAAGTCTTATTGAATTTGGTGTTCCTTCTGAATAAATATGTACCAGACAGGGCTGTAAAATAGCTGTGTAAACGCAGCTTATACTTGTTTTTGTGCATAGCAATTCTGAAAAAACTGATTTATCTATGTAAATTTTTTTGGGTTCTCTGTATAAATTTCAAATAAAGCACTAGAGGGAGCACTTAGGTAAACTTCCATATTGCACTGAAACAATGAATGTTCTCTTAATTTGAGTAGTACAAAATTTAGTGTTCCTTTGGTATAGCAATTCTTCTGCAGCAGTCTACATCTTCTTTGCTGTTAAAATAAGATTAAATCTGTATAAAGTTTCTTTGATAACCCTGACTTAACTTAAAGCCTCCATACCACTGCTGGTGTTTAGAAAGCTCACACTAGTGTCTGCCTACATAATAGTGTAGTGGACCTTTTGTGTACACTAGACAATGTTCACTTGCACATGAATTAACTTCTTTTAGGTTTATTCTCATTTGATTTGAAATTATTAGCTTGCATTACTCTTTACCATGCTCATTCTCTAAAACTTGAATAAGGACTATATAGCCAGGTGTGTAAATATAGGAAATTCAGATTAAAAGCCCTAGGTACGAAACCCACAAATTGGATTCTCTTTCTAGCCTGCAGAGCTATTATAAAGCTAAAAGACCAGAGCAAGGTTTTTGGAAGATGGCTGAGATTCAAATGAAAGAAATAACATTACATGTTCTTGCTCCTTAATTTTATTAACAGAAAAGACACAATCTATCTTGTTCCTTGCCAAAAGAAAACTAAATTGGACTTCTCTAACTCAGGTTTAGAAGTCTGAAATGATCATTCAAACTGCCAGTGTAAAATGGAGTTAAACCTGCAGTGTATTGTGCATGTGTATGACCTAGTGGGCCAGTATTGGGAAATTAGCACTTTAAGCACAGTGGTTTCTGTGATGTTAGATATTAAATTATAATTTTGCAGTAGGACAATGAGTAGTCTGATTGTCCTACTGCTAAATTGCTGTTTGCTGAAGTACTCTTTCATTTTGAAGCTTGAAACATGTTTGTCCTGAATGGAACAGATGCAGCCTATGAGCCTCGTGGCGCAGTGGTTAAAACGCTGTACTGCAGCTAAAACTGTGCTCACGACCTGGGGTTCAAATCCCAGGTAGCTGGCTCAAGGTTGACTCAGCCTTCCATCCTTCCGAGGTCGGTAAAATGAGTACCCAGCTTGCTGGGGGGGGGAATGTGTAGCCTGTATAATTAAAATTGTAAACCGCCCGGAGAGTGCTTGTAGCGCTATGGGGCGGTATATAAGTCCAATAAATAAATAAATAAATAAATAAATATGTAAACTGATATGTTGACTGTGTAGTGCAGTGGTCCTCAACCTTGGGCCTCCAGATGTTCTTGGACTACAACTCCCTAGAAGCTTGAAACCTGTTTGTCCTGAAGGGAACAGATGCAGCCTATTGCCATGTAAACTAATATGTTGACTGTGTAGTGCACACATCGCCAGTCTTCTAGATAACAACACAAAACATGAAGACCAAGTGTGCATCCAAAATATACTGACAAGAATCAAAACATTCCAGCTTTGTGATTGAAGCTGGCATAAACATGAAAATATTTTATACTTTATTTTAGGTTTTTTTGGATGCACATTTGCTAGTTTTGGTTTTTGCTGCTGTCAGGTACCTCTCTGAAATACAGTATGTGTGGCAGAGATTTTCTGAGATGCATGTTATAGAATAATGGGGTGGTAAAAAGGTTAGTCTAAGCAAGAGTTGCTTAACAAGGCTGCCTTAGACTCTAAGGCTTAGAGTACACAATATTTAAGCTGATAGAAGATCTTAAGTACTGTTTGAAACAGTGTACATCTGAGCAAGGAGCAGGAATGTTAAGCTGTGTAGGCAAAGTTTAAGCTTGTATAATGCAATAGCAATATGCTGGAGAATCAGCTTTATCAACCACATGTATAGAAGAGATACATCAGACTTCCCAAATTCTGTATGGTTGTGTTATTTTTGCTGGATTTGCAGTTTGCTCATAATAGAATGGGAATGTTGTTAAACTTTGACTCCCTGCATTTTTTTTGTTTTTTATATTTTACTTCTAGGTATTTGTAGAAACATTAGACAAGTGTTTTGAAAATGTCTGTGAACTGGACTTAATTTTCCATGTGGACAAGGTATTGTGGAGAACTGCTGCAATTTGCATTGAATATAGTCTGTTGACAGGAAACATTTATTGTTGTATCTATCCTGCCGAAAACAAACCTACTCTTATTCACATGTCACTCTTTAGATAAGCTAAAGTTAAAGTAAAGGTAAAGGTTCCCCTTGACATTTAGTTTAGTCATGTCCAACTGTAGGGCGCAGTGCTCATCCGTGTCTCCAAGCCGTAGAGCTAGTGTTTGTCCATAGACAGTTTCCGTGGTCACGTGGCCAGCACGACTAGACATGGAATGCCGTTACCTTGGGTTGTTCCTATTTATCTACTCGCATTTACATGCTTTCGAACTGCTAGATTGGCAGGTGCTGGGACAAGCAACAGGAGCTCACTCCGTCGTGTGGATTCGATCTTGCGACTGCTGGTCTTCTGACCTTGCACCACAAAGGCTCCTGCGGTTTAACCTGGCGCGCCACCACATCTCTTTAGATCAGCTAGTAATTTTTAAAAATGTAACCTGGAGCACAAAATTTACTGTGGTTTTAAAGATTTGTCTGTGAGATTTGTAAAGTTTAAGCAGTAGAAACATGAAGTTTAAAAGAAAAAGATGTGGAAAGAAAATTGAGAAGTGCTTGCCATCCCAGTATTCTTACAGCTTGACGGATGTTTTGAGAATGAGAAGAAATAATCTGCTTAATGATACAAGCCACAGTTTTCTATAAAGACCAAAATATTTTGTTGGATTGTTGTCAAAGTTTTTTTCTACATGAACATGGTGTTAGCTTTTATGCTGCCAAGTTTATAATAATTTTTGTTGCATACAGTTTTTCTGTCAGCCATAAGTAAACTTGTTGTTTTCTGTAAACATTCTTTTGTTCTCATCACTCTGATAGTTCCTCTGAGTATATTAGCTTCTTCCAGGAAAGTAGCTTTGAGAGGAACAGTGAAAGGTTATAATGGCCAACAAATCTTTCTTTCCCACACCCCGTTTTCCTGGCAGAAGTCTTCTTCCTTTTTACTGATTACTGGTATTCTTACACATCTGGATTTGGAAAAGAATGAAGAAATGGGAGACTTTTGACCTTCAACTTTTAAGAAAGCTTTTTGAAATATCAATTCCCTTTTTTCTTGAAGATGAAGTGAGATTTCTGTACACCAAGCCACCCTCCCACATAACCTATGCCCTATGTGTTCTAGATTTCTGCAAATCTCTTCATTGCCATGTGATTTGAAATATGAAAAATGCTGCTATTAGAATGAATCATATCCACTTGAGCACAGTTTCTTGGAAAAGTATCACTCCTGAAAATTCAGCATAAGAAGAAGTCATGACATGCAAATGTTCTGAGTAGCTTATGTGGGAGTTTGAAATGCTGTTGCATCTGGATGTGTTGTACAATACTGCTCAAAACATGTGTGATAAATATTTATAACCATATTCTATGTGTATGCAAAGTATAATATCAGCCTTGAGCCAAAGTATTTCAAGGCTCATGAATATATAATTTAAAAAATGTTCTTACTATATGGTGTGAGAATTTTAGTTAACTGGGAAAATTTCAACACAGCTCCTTGTTTGATTCTTCCCTGATTTGCTTTTCCATTGTATTGTCAAAAACAGTTAGAAGAATTAGTTCACATTGGTGTTTGTATAGCAGTGAATGAAGAACTGCCCAGGGTGAAAAGCTGGGAAGCATAGGACTAACAGTGTAATCATTCTGTGATCCTTTCTCAGTGCTTGCAAACTGTATCCAGAATGGTTATTGATTTTAAAGGTCTTCAATGACAGGTTTGCAGCTTTGTTCTCAATGAATACAGTAAATGAATCATATTTGTCAAAAAAATGAAATAATAACATTTTAGATTTTTTTCAGTAAAATGAGAAAAAAACAATAAGTGCATTTTCTAGGTCTTTATCATAAGTGCTAGCTCTTTGTAACTTAAATATTTCATGTTACTAATTACACAGTAAAAATAGTTTTATAACTTGGGAAAACTTGTTATAAAAAAATATTAATGACATATTTGCTTAAATTGTGCACCTTGAATTTATTTTGTGATCTTTTTAGGTCCATAATATCCTGGCTGAAATGGTGATGGGTGGAATGGTTTTGGAGACAAATATGAATGAAATTGTCACCCAGATTGATGCTCAAAATAAACTAGAAAAATCCGAGGTAAAAATGAAAACTATTAAAGCTAGTTGGTGCATGATCATACAACACACATGATCTGAAATTGCCATTTATCTTTTAGTATTGCCTTGTATTCAGCTAGTTGTATTGCTGTAAATGAGTGTTTAGTATGTAGCATGTAAAAATAAATTAAATAATTGAACATTCCCTCTTTCCTTCTTTCAACTTCATATCTGCTGTTGGCATCTATGTACAGAAATAGTTCTGAGCTGCCTTCTATAGCTTCTTGGCTAGTCTTAATTTCTGACATAGTAACCACCAGCTTGAAGCTATACAATTTGATGGGTTGGGTATCTAGTACTTTTATGATCTTGAACTATTTTACCATCTTAATGTTATAGACCAAATTGTCTGGAGTTATGTCAATTGTCTTTTAAATCAGTAGGTATCTACAAATAGATGTTGTCTTTTCTTTCCCGTAAATAATAATGAAAAAACTGTATAAATTGAGCCATGCAAAACTGTAGGCTCTTAGGGTGAAATTAAATGAGACTTTAAGCACACAATAATATTTATCTCCAGTTTTTAAAATGTGACAACTATGGGAAAAGAAATTTTCTCCAATGCTACTTTTCTTTCTGTGTTGATGTTTGCTGTGGGAGTAGCATTCCTATGAATATGGATCCCTTTGAGGGCAAATTGCACCTTTAGTTATGTGTTTTATGTCTCATTTAGTCTTCATATATAAATAGGTATGGTACAAACTGGCCAAAATCTTGTTGCATAGCATAGTAATAGCACTAGAGCAGGTTCATCGAGTTAATGGGGATTTGGTAAGTCATAAGTTCCTGTAGTAATAGCACTAGAGCAGGTTCATCGATTTTTTTTTTAATTCGATGAACCTGCACTAGAGCAGGTTCATCGAATTAATGGGGATTTGGTAAGTCATAAGTTCCAGTGATTCAGATGGCCCTAATCTAACTGTGACTTATAGTAAGTTGCAGTAGGCCCATTTGAATCAATGGAACTTATAAAGGTGTTGAATCATTCAAACCCCACTGATTCAGTGGGCCTACTCTAGTGTAATTTACTGTGCTAAGCAGCAGAATTTTGGTCATTAGTTCCTTGCACTGTTAACGAAAGAATATGATGTGATGTTTTTGAGTGTGCACACAGAATTTAGTAGCAAATTTCGTAGCTATTTGCCTTGACTTACACAATATTGCTTCTCATTGGCAATTTGGCTGGACATTTCCCTTCACTTTGTTTATCTAATATTCCTACTTATAAATGCAGGACAGCACTGGCAGAGAAGCACAGAAATTGGGTAGTGTGTGATATGATGCATGACAATATGCTGGTGCAAGAATATTAAAGATGAGAAAAATTGGACTCAGATTTGAGTTATATAAAACATACGTGTGATATGATGCATGGCAATATGCTGGTGCAAGAATATTAACAAAGATGAGAAAAAATGGACTCAGATTTGAGTTATATAAAACATAGGAGAACTATGTTAAGTTCCTCATCTCTTGTTTTTTAAAAAATAGAATTTGCTCTCATAATTTGTGGTTTGAATGATTAACTTGTTAAGCTTCAGTTTTCAGTTAATTATTTCAAGGAAGCTACTTCAGTAAAATAGACCAGGTCAATTTCCATTTCCATTTTTTCATCTAATCAGCTTAATATTTTTTCCTGAGTATGTAATACACAAGTTGAAAGAAGAACAGCAGAGTAATTGGATCATAAAGTGGTCCCTTTCCTTGAGCAGAGGGCATGTGCTTTGATTGTCCTGTCATCTATAACTCTCCATGCCATGCTGTGCACCATTCTGGAGTGTCACCTGACCCTTGGAAGTACTATATTGTGATGGAAGGGACTGCAGTGGGAACAGATGGACGAGAAAGACCTGGCACACATACAAAGCACTTCCCAAAATACAAGTTATTAATTTGAATTAGCTCTGTGAGCTGTTCGTTTTTCAACACAAAGATATTAAAAAGCAATTTACCACATCTTTTGTGGTTGAATTTTACTCCCCTATTGGTGGGTAAACATCTTAGAAAAAAATTGAAAAGTATTTTCCAAGTGAATTTGTACAAAATGGAGCAATTTTAGTTTTTCACTTCTGATACTTGTTGGGCAGAAATTTGCAAGCCATTTGGAATCAAGCTAATAAAGTTTTAGGCATTTGGATAAGAGGAACTAAAGAGTGAGCATTTGAGGTGTGGGTTTGTCAGGCACTATTAGTGACATGGAAGGTGTCTTCTGAAAACTGGGATAATTGCAGTGTTCTTGTAGTGTTCAGCTGGGTGTGAATTTGGTCATTTTAAGTCAGTCTTCATTTTTTTCAAACCACCTGATCTTTTCTAGTTCTTTCCATTCTTCTCTTTACAGACCTTTATCTTTCAGTCTCCCAGACAGGACAGGTAGATACAGGTATTGCCAATTTTCAGAAAAAAATGTGCTTCTATAATATAAAGGGAAAGCAAAATGATGTCAAAGGCAATAATGAATCAGGCCAGACTCAAAAATTATGTGTTGATAAACCCATATTAGTCTTTGTAGCCTACTTTTTGTGCTAGTTTCCCTCATCTTTTATTGCCTGTAGTGTATTTACTAGATTATCATTAACTTCATATATTTTTATTTTTACTTTTCTCCTTCATTAGTGTTCAGCTTTAGAAGTTATTACTTTTTAAAATGTAATTGTATCATTTGTGTGCTTACATTATTGACAAATCTAGTTCACCTGTTGCAGGCATGATGCTCCCAGTTGTTTAGTGGCAATTAAGCAATAAGAAACAACACATAGGATTTTTGGGCCCTTTTCCTTCCTGGTGTTTGAAGCTTCAACACATGGTTTAACTGTATCTAGGATGTACTGTATGTCAGCAATAGTTCAGGCTTTTTAGGATTTCTTAACCAGAATGTGAAAATGTTTTAAAAATTAATTTCAAATCCTAGTAAGGTAAGAGAACCTTATAATTCTTAACTGCAGTTAACATAATTTACAATGTAACACTTTAAAGGAGGAAGACCACAGGGAGTTCATGTCCAGAAGAGGGAGAGAGTCGAAGTACATCACTCTGTGACTCACTTCCATTTGATTAATTCTGGAACTGAACTGTTAACATCTGGATGCCCTGACCAAAAATGCATTAATACAAACCACAATATTTGTCTGTAAATGCAGACTTAACTCTAAAAACTTGAATCTCACTAAGCTTTTGTGCAAATGAACGCTACGTCTGTTTATGCAAAGGGCAGGAGTCTTGTATTTCTATCAATTTAACTTGTTGCTGCAGCCCCTCCTACTGCATCGAACACTGTTCTAGGCCCTCAGGAGTGGCTTTTAGGGAATTGCATTGCATTGCAGAAGGAAAAAAGGGGGAAAGCCCCAATACATGACAAAGATGTAAATAAGATACAAGGCTAAATTTTTGAAGGAGTGCATTTTTCATTTTTTTGTTTGAAGAAAAGCAGTGCTGAAAAGCTTTTAGTACAGTAGATGAAGGCTTTGGAATTAACACTGGGGACATTTTCAAGTGAATGTAAACAACAAAGCATAAAAATGTGTTTTGTGAAAAATGTGGCTATCATAAAAGACACCATATTTGCTTCATTTTCCACACTGCATTGTGGATGGATGGATGAAGTAAATAAACACAGGCCTAATACCAGTTGCAGTTGATTATAGAAGTAACTCTAGTGCTACTAAAATCTTCTATTTGTATGAATCAGTTGTCTTTTATTGTAAGCCTCCCAAAATCTGTTCTCACAGAGTGGCATATAAATGTTGATATATAAATTAACCCTTTAAAACCATCCTTAGATCCCATTTTGAGATGATGATTAGATGATATTGCAGGGAAGCAAAGTTTGCAAAAATTAAGAACAATTAAGAAAAATTAAGACCCAGCATTGGTACTTGAGCTAATGTGAATATCCTGGGACCAGCTGGGCTGACTATGTTCACTGTAGCATCTGGATTTTAAAGAAAAAAATTATAGTCAGGGCCAGGCAACAGGGCAGATACATAGTTATTATTAAACTTTTAAAACATAATTCTTTTCTGTCATAGAATAGTGCTACCTATCAAATGAGACCATTCAATCCCAGGGCAGCTAGCCCCATTTTATCCCTGTAGTCATTGATTTAAGTCAGTTTAAAATTTAGAACCTAACATGTTCAAAGTGTTTCCTTCTGTATCAGGATTGGCAAATGATGTTCTTTCTTTGCTCTAATGTAACGGAATAAGGACAGAATGGTAAAGGGTAGAAAGGGACTAAAGTGAAAAGAGAAATACTGTTTTCTTCACAGCTCAAGTAATACATGTAACTGTCTAAATATAACTCCACTAAATCAGAAATAGCTAACCACCACAGGTAATAATATACAAATTATTATGTGGGCTAAGTGGTTTTGAAACATTTTATGGGGTAAGTGGGCTACAGTATCACAGGTGAAGTGGCAAGGGAAATCGGCATACACAGTGGTGCCTCACTTGACGAGGATAATTCATTCTGTTCAAATCGCTGTTAAGCGAAATCCTTGTTAAGCAAAATGAAAAAGCCCATTGAAGTGCATTGAAAACTGGTTCAATGCTTTCCAATGGGCAAAATACCTCAGCGTCCAGTGAAGATCCTCCATAGGGCGGCCATTTTCCAGTGCCTGTAATATGAGGAATCCGTACTAAAGCACAGTGGGGAGCCGCCTAGAGTGGTCTATCGACTAGATAGGTGGGATATAAATAAAATAAATAAAGAAATAAATAAAATTTTGCACAGCGGGGAGCCATTTTGAAGACCCGACGCACAGCGGGAAGCAATTTTGAAGACCCGACGATCAGCTGTAAAGATCGTCGTTAAGCGAAAAATCAGTTCCCAAAGCAGGGAATCGATCGTCGTAAAGCGGTTTTCCCCTATTAAAACATCGTTTTGTGATCGCAAAAGCGATCGCAAAAACTTCATCATAAAGCGATTTCCTCGTCTAACAAGATAATCGTCAAGCGGGGCACCACTGTACTGTGCTTCAGA